TCTCCAAATCCTACAGGGAGGACTATGATATCAGTTGGAGGAACAATGGACAGGAGCAGGTGTTTCATCCTACTAACGTGGGACTCCTCAGAAGTTCGTATCAACGATCGGTCCCATGCCACAGAATCCAATGATCCACATATTTCCAACTTCTGCTAGTTCAAGACATAGCGCCATCTCAATCTATTGTCATCATTGATTAACTCATCTCATATTCAACTTAGTTAGCTCCAATGATCATACAACTTCGGGAATCACACCTCGAAGATAATCATCATCAATGAGGTTTGTTGAGTCATTAGTTCACCATTTTCTCTTCCAGATTCTTGTGGTTATCACCAAACACTCTGCTCTACTTATCTTCCCTGAAATAACGTACCTACCTACAGGCTGGAATTATAAAGATGTTTCTTTTATTCTTCAGTCCCTGAAGAGATCTCTTCTCTTCGTTGGTTAATTGAGTGCAAATTTGTCACCGCTTCGTTAGAGGTACGACTATTTGTTGTATTTCTTGTTGGATGTCACAGCTTAGTTCTGAAGTTTTCAGTGAGGTTATCTAGGATGACAACGAAAGCTCCACAATTAAGCAATCCAGTTCAGAGAACACAACACCATTAAAATTATTCTCCTGAGCTAAAAATATTCTCTATCATTTCACTTTAAATCGTTAACTATTCATATTGACCACAATATATCGACAAAGAACAAATGCTTCCAAGATTGTCTAGCATAAACTGACCGTCAGGCCTCATAATGAATGTGAGACTAGTCAGCCACCGTATCGGAATCAAACAGTCAACATTTTAGTACGTGTGTCAATTCGTTACCCCCCCCCACCCAGCCGACTGACTTGTTCCGTCTCATACGTCATGACTTCTCTCATTAGAATTTCGCATTGATTGGTTCCAAAGTAGTATTTATCATGAACTGAAATCATTTCGAGAAGTATTTAAAATCTAACAGCACTGAACAATTGTCGTATCCCAGTAGTGCACACTCATAACCTCACGAGGAATCCAATTAGAGACTACCACCAGAATTCACAACGATCATGTTCCCACTCCCCTACCGAGTTATAATCCATGAATCTAGATTCCCTTGATTTTGTCGTTTTGTGATTTGATCAGGTTGTGAAGATAAACACTCGCCCCCTAGCCCTGAATGATAACCTGACGTTCGTGAAATAGACGCCTTATCTAATCGCAGGTGTAAACAGCTAACTAATCGGAAACTAGGAATGAATGGGTGTTCCATACTCACAATTTCGTGATGATAATTCTACTGGTCTATTTTTGGCTCCTGAGTGGATGTCTCGATGGTATCTGGTGGATAACACATGTCAGTTTGAAGCAATAGGTAGTAGTTTAGAGTTGCAATCACCAACTGACATGCACATACATCGATTTGACGAGTCGAAATGTGAGGGAGTACATACACTAAATTCCACCGCAAGGCAATTTACATCAGCAGCGAAAACGGAATTTCAAGTGCATGTAGAAAAGACACAGGTGATGAAGATAACCAACCAACAACGAGCACCAAACACCATCAACGAGAGAAACCTAAAGGAAGTTGTCTCTTCCACCTACCTAGTCAGCATCGTTTCAACTACAGGCGGCACAGACGAGGATGTCTAAACTAGGATTGGAAAAGCAAGACAGGTTTTCATTAATCTGAAACCAATGGAGATCTTCTGCACTCAGCATAAAGCGTGAACAACGTCAAGTCAGTGCACCTGTATGGTTCAGAAACTTGGCGCGTTACGAAAAGGCATTTCCAACAAACTATAAACATTCGTCAACAACTGCCACCTACACTGGCTCATTACTGAAGATCAGATCAGATAGCCAGATATAATAAGCAACAAGCAACTCTGGCTGGCTGCCAACGAACCAACCAACAACCAATTACTCAACAAATATGCACTGGAAGGAAGTGGAGATGGTTAAGGCATACACTGAGAAGGCCAACTGGGGACATCATACGCCAGGCCAGTCACTCGAGTGGAACCCAGATGGGAAGCGACGAGTTAGGTGTCCCAGCTGAGGGAGACATGTAGGAGATTGTATGAGGAAGAAATGAAAGCTTGTGGGCAGTCGTGGCGCCAGGTTGAAAAGACCGTAGAGAACACAGTGCAATGGAGGCAAGCTACTGAAGCTCTATGTTCCACTAGGAACCCAAAGGAAGAGTAATGAAATGTATGATATCTTCTGTTGCCATCGGAAATCACCTCCATAGAATTAAACTTCACTGACAGGAAACCCTCTGGACAACCAATCAGATGGGAGGTGCTGGACTCAAGATCATCCGTTAACCATGCGGATGACGCTGGCCAAGCTGTTAGTTATTTGTAGAGAGTTAGATGACTTCCAAGAAGTCTGCGTTTTGAAAGTGGTGTTGTATTGGATTATGTACCTAACAATAAGTAGACCTTTACCATAATCACAATACAGGAAATGGTATGAATTAAAAGATACTAAACCTATTGAGATTAAGATACATATCTCTCACACAAAAGAGATTTACAACTACCATTTTCCCTAATATTTACGTTGTCTTTCACATGCTCCATTCTGATTGGTCAGTGCATACTCAAAAGCGATTGGACGTCACCAAAGTTTAGGTTCACCGTCATCTCTTATTGGCCAGTCAATCATAATCGCACAAGTGGGTTTTAGACACCAGTTTCCTTGATACGCTTTATGCGGAACAAATGAAATTGATGTTAGCAGATTGCATGCATGCATCCAAGTATCTGGTTATCAAATTCAGTGATATTGATTTGAACCTGTGAAGAAGATATGGGAGAAATCAGTCCCTTTAGGATTATGACAAACAGTTATGTGATGAAACCGATGTGAGACGAAACCTCCTTTCTACCAACGCCTGACGTTTAACCGTAGTATAGTCCACCTTGATACACTTTGCAACGTCAAGTGCTTCAAACTCTACTGTTACACAAATTTTTGTTGTTGACAGAGTCAGAGTTTTTGTTAAGTACGCTGAAATGCTTGAATAACCAATCTGTACGATTCTTCTGACTAAATAAACTTTAATATCTGAAAGCAATTTACAACATCTTTACTTCTATTACCCTATGAATTACTACACTATCGTTTCGTATGTAAAGTCTCTTGTGTTCATGTTCTACTCTTCGGGGTACTGTTAATAATAAAATGTTAACCTTTTGTTCAATTATACAGTGTTAAGATAACAAACACATTACGCTCACATCTATGTAGATTAGAAGATCCGATTGGAACAACAGAACAATGTTTACACTGTAGTGAATACGATGCCGTATACATTGGATAGACATCACGTCAAATACCAACATCCCATCGAAGTTGCAAGAAACCATCATATATCGTTTTACCCTTCTTCAGTAGACAGAAATTATAGATTATAACATCCCATAAACGAATCGCATAGACAGCTGCAAATAATAAGAAAGAAGACGGGAGAAAACGACTTCATTTAACCATATACCACATGATTTATTCATGTTTGAAGAGTTCCCAGCGAATGACACGATACTGCCACGTAGAAGCAAATACAATAAACGAGGTTGAAAAATTGAATTCCGGAGAAAAAAACGGAGATCAACAAGAACTTATGTTCGCTGTACAAGAGGTGACCATCGCTTTCGGGTCTGAAGCGATCGGCAGGGGGTTGAGTGTCAATGAACACAAAATTATTCATAAGGGTACAGCTGATGAGTTCCAAGCAACAAGAAACACGCCTCCTGGATTGGTCTACTAGCAGCAATCAAGTAAACAAACGTAATTAATTACTGTACATGCGTTGCTCTCTAAACATAATTATTCTACAAAACTGATAACATCTTTATTCTCCCCAATTGTAATCTCTATAATCCAACTACGGTTATCCAACGTATATCTCCTCCCCCATCATTCAAAAACTGGAAAAACACTCTGATATCAATTTCATATTCCACTAATCCTTCTTCTATATAACCATGTTATTAGATGGTTGTAATCGTCACCTTCTCAATATTGACCTGACAACTTAATGAAAAATTCATACTCTCTCTACAAAACAATCATCCTCATAGCAAGATCCAAACACTGGGGAATCACACAACTCATTTGTTATGTGTTACTTGTTCTACGCCACAACCACACATGTAAAAATACACCTTATACAATGGATACAGTTACCGGTTTCATACATTCATGGTATGTTCTCGTCTGCGTGACTCTCGACTTTTCCAGTCTCAACCTACTTTCACCAACATTCTGTGACAAGGCATACACAACACGTGTCCCAACCAGCTTAGTACTTGCAAGTTTACATCCGTGTCAACTCATCTACTTACCTCTACTCCTGACTTCTGCGTTACTCACACAGTGACACTACGGAATACAGTCTATACTGCGATGAAGCCAACGGTGGACAAACACCTGAAATCTTCTCATGTCTTTCACCTTCAATGCTCACGTTTCACAGCCATCTAGTAGAACAGAGAGGATTCAAGTGCAGTACACACCACCCTTAATAGACAATCGAATATCACAGCTGCGCAACAGGTCGTGTAACTTGGCGAAATTCAGTCAAGCATTTTATATTCGTGTACAGATTTTATCGGCCACTGAGCCATCAGACCTGATTCCACTCGCAAAGTAAGTGAAGTAATCCACACACTCAATGACTACACTTTCTATTCTCGAATACAGTTTCCGCCTCACAATCATAGACCAGCAGTCTCCATCTTCATCATTCATGGCTCAGTCAAGTATACGCTGGTATCATTCACTCACTCACTCACTTCACTTAGCATCATTATTCACTTGACAGACACTAGTCGGCGAACACGAGTTCATCCAGTCAAAGTCAACCCTCCTGGATTCTTCTCTTAGCCTCACTCAATCATTTCACTTGACAGATATTAGTCGATCAAGACCAGTTGAACTACTCTCCAGTCCAAGTCGATCTTATTCATGAAGAGTTTACAAAACTTTTCAACGAAAAACGTGAAAAAAGTTGCCTAGAATTTATTGGGGATCAGTTTTCGGGATAATTACATAATATTTCAATATCTGTATTCCCATTTTATCACAATCATAAGCAGCAAACAAACAAAACAGTCTTAAAAAAACAGGCAGAACAAGGTGAAACGAAGTTTATTTCATTGCAAAAGTAAAAATAACATGTTATCCATCAGTCAATCAATCCCTTCTTTATTCACACACTTCAAAGAGGTGATTATCCTCGACCAATTTCTTCAATAATCGATTGTACTTCATGTTTATTGAATAAGTGATAATTGTCTTTGACACTGATTGTCGCCATCTAGATAGAGAGAGGGGAGAGAAGAAAGTAGTAAAAAACCGAGGGGGTGGGGTGAAGGTAGGGTAGGAATAGTCACAATTTACGCATTCTCATGATCAAGAAGAGGAGCAGATGTAGGCTTAAACCACTCACTGTCTGGTGCAAGGAACCTGCCTTCAAAATCAAGTTGAAAGCCTTTATAGAAGTTGGTGATAAACCACAGTTGAAGTTGAACATCCAAAACAGAAACTGAAGGACGAAACTACAAAGGACATCTTCATATTAGCCATCAGGAAAAAATGGGAGACACTAAGCAACATCCCTGAGGAGCCTGCATGAAAGAATACTGGAGCTCTTTGAAAGGGACGTGGAAAGAAACCTGCATAACCGTATTAGAAAGGAATAAGAAACACGGAAAGGAATGGATCTCCACGAACATATGGAAGCTAATAGAGTAAGGGGAGAAAGATGGTGAAGCAGAAAATGAACCAATGCAGTGCAGGGATGGACAACGAAAAGACGAACTGAGCACAACCTATAGAAGTGAAGAAGAGTGTGCGCAAAGACAAAAGACACTTCCACGACACACTGACAAGTGAAGTAGAACAGGCTACCGGTAGGAGAGACCTGATAACTCTATATCAAATAACCACGCTATTATCTGGGAGGGAAGAGATCAATCCAGATGAAACCAACGAAAGACACTGAAGGAAACCTAGTTAGCAAATAGAACAAACAAAGAAAACGATGGGCTGACTACTTCAAAAAACTCATGAATTGACCACCATCACCACTTGCAACTCGTCCAGAAATGTTGCCAGCAGCCACGGAACTATCAGTGAAAACAAACCCTCCGACATAGCCATGAAGTTACTGAAAGCAGGGAAAGCAATCGGACCAGGTGGAATTCCTCCAGAAGCAGTGAAAACAGGCACATAGACACAGGCGGAGATGCTCACGCGACTACTGCACAAGGTTTGGAAGGAAGGGAATGTACCTGCCGACTGGAAGAAGGGCTACCTTGTCAAACTCTCAAACAAGGCAGACCTAAGTCTGCAAGAACTCGTGCGGAATCAAGCTCTTGTCCACCCAAAGCAAAATATTAAGCTGCATCATCCGGAAGAGATGCACTGGATTGAAAATTGTGACAGGAACAGGCTGGCTGACTGCCTACAGGAAGTATAAATCATGTGCGGACCAAATTACAACGCTCTACTACGCCTCATCATGGAACAGACTATAGATTAGCAATCAACTCTCTACCTCAACTTCATGGATCTTGAAAAGACCTTCGGCAGCGTCGACCAAGAAGTAATTTGGCAGGCAGCTGCTTCAACACTACGGTTTTAGTACCACAAACCTTTGTCAAACTCATTGAACAGTTATATGGCATGTGTTGCTAAGTACCAAGTGATTCATAACGGAAAACTGAATGACACCTTTGAAGTGAAGACAGAAGTAAGACAAGATTTCTGACTACGATCACCAATGCTATTCCTGATTGTGATCGACTGGATCATGCAGCAAACTGTGAGGAGCAAGAAGATGGACATACGCAGGACCGATGGAAAGACCCTACACGATTTGGATTTCGCCCATGATTATATTTACGTCTAATGTCGCACAAACTCGAAGATCCACAAGCGAAAACTGACAAGTTGGCAGAAGAGGAGAGGCAGCGAAGACGGCACTTTAGGTGAACGTAGAGAAGACAGAGGTGATGATGATACCCAACCAACAACAACAATCAGGAGGAATCCTCAAGGAAGTTATCTCTTACACCAACCTACCAACCTAGGCAGCATCGTTCCAACTACAGACAGGGGGCACAGATGAGAATGTCAAAGGCACGATACGAAAGACAGGCCTTCATTAAGCTCAAGTCAGTGTGAAGATCTACTGCACTCAGCATAAAGCGTGAACAACATTCGGATTTTCAACTTTAATTTCAGTCAAGTCATTGGTTCTGTGAAATGGTTGAGAGACTTGGCACGTTAAGAAAAGCATTTCGAACAAACTACACACATACATCATCGACAGCTGCTGCCTACGCTCACTTGATACTGAAGATCAGTGGAGATGAGATGGCCAGAAAGAATAAGCAAGGTGGAACTCACTCTGGCTGGTAACGAACCAACCAAGAACCCATCACCCAACAAATATGGAGAAGGAGAAAATAGAGATGGATTGAATTGGGCATATACTGAGAAGACCATTTGGGGACATGACGTGCCAGGCCCTCAAGTGGAACGCAAAGGTGAAACCATGAATTGGTCGTCAGAGAGTGACGTGGGAGAGACCGCATGAGGAAGAAATGAAAGCTTATGGACAGTCGTAGAGCCAGGTTAAAAAACAAAGACTACAGAGAACATAGTGAAATGGAGACGTGCTACTGAAGCCCTATGTTCTACCAGGAATCCAAGAGACAAATAATAATAATAAATGATACACCGTTAACTTTCAAAATCAAGGTCCGTTACCCTCCAATTACTGAGGTTTCGATAACAAAGTAGTATCACCGTGTTTCATTGCGAAGGGTACATTAGACCAGGTAGGATTCGAACTACACTCTTCATTGCTTAGAGTAGGCAAATAGTAGTTTATATTACTTCGATGTAAGAAGATAATCAAGAAACAGTTCCATCTTGATATTTGGCTAACTCTGAGAGACTATAGGGTTACAAGTATAACAGTCTGATGTATTCTTTACTCAATATTACGTTTACATAGCGGTTGCTTAAGCATCGATGTGGGGGAGGGTAAAGGGTTTTTTTATATGCTCCAAATTTCGCATAACTTTTCTCCGATATTTTCTTATAATCTCCAGGGATGCCCAGTGTCACCGTTTCTACTCAGCTTCGTTATAGATATACTACCAGACATAATTTTAGGTGCGTCTGACTTCATACGCACTGATCTACTCTCCCTGGAGTATCCAGACGACATTGTCCTACTCGGTGAAGACGCTGACGCAATGTAGTGTCTTATTAACGCGTTGAGCAGAATTCTGAGTATATTTGACATCCATCTTGCTGGCACCTGTCAAATTCAAGATGTTACTCCAGGACTAGTGTGCAACTACTCCTAGTTTAAGGATAGAGAGAAAAATAGTGAAATGGGTTGTTCACTTCACTTAATTGGGAAGTTTTATGAGCTCGAAAGAGCTGATCGCTGACAAAATCTCAGCTTTTGGAGTATACACAAGGCCTGTTTGGGATTAGCTAACTTATGGCATATGAGGTGTCAACTGGTAAGATATCCAACTACCTATTTGCAGGAGGCGGATACTGCACTACAGTCCATTATTTCCTGTTATGCATCATCATCATCATCATTATCAACATAGGACCAGGCATTACTGCGTAACGGTCCGACTTCCCACCACACCTCATATCAGCACATCAAGTAAAAAGGTAGTGAGGTGAAGGATGAAGATAAGTGAATGCAGTCAAAAGAAATATAAAGTATGAGAAGAAAGGAAAGAGGAGTGACAAAATGGTGAGATTCGGTATAGCATCGTTAAGATGAGGATAACGTGTGTATACATCTGCGCCACTGACATCAGTTCAGAGCCATATCACCTAGGGTCTCCAACCACTGGTTCCTCTTGTCCCACCGACCCCAACCCAACCACCTAGTCTGCATCACCACACATGGCTTAAACCAACAGTCACAGACTTCATACATCGGTGCCATGTTTTAGTCTGGCCACCTCGGGCCTTTTTCCAGCCTGGACCCACCTCAGCCAACATTGTGTGACGACGAAATCGGTGACTAGGCATACGTAGTACGTGTCCCAACCATCAAATCCTGTTATGCATTTGAGATACGACCGTTAAAGGTTTCGACTCCAGATATTTTCGTAGGATGGTTGGTCAGATGAAGGGTACTAGGCGACTCTAACAACAGTTAGGGATTTCATCCACTGGTTCCACATTTTAGCCTCGTCCTTATCCCAATCGAATCCAACTTCACCTAATATTGGAGATCGAGGTAGATGGCGATGGCGCAACCATCTTAGTCGACTAAACTTTACAACTTTACTTTCTCTGTGTCTTTCGCGTTTAGGATTTTGGGGATGATGGTAAGCGGTATAAAAGTTAGCTGTTGATCAGAAGTGTGCATACTACATACTATAACTCTTATCGTTATAATTAGTTAACTCCTAATCAATCGGTTTTGGATCCTAGGCCCGCGCATTTATTCAACCTATCGAGGTTTTGGAAGGATCTCTCAACTATACAATCGACATGACTCATTGATGACAGTGTGAATATGAACTTATGTGCTGACTTACCTTGATACTGAAACAAACGATGTTAGAGGTCAGTCCAGCATAAGTAGACATCATTTTAAAATCAATATATACACTTACCTCCACATTAGTTGAATCAAGTTTCTCCTCCATAACTTGTTTTAATATAGTTAAAGCGTGTTTACAACCTTCATGAAGTGTCATATTCTATTCAATACAATAAAAAAAAGAGGAGGGAATCATAAGATATCAGATATGAAATCATTGATGTTTCGATGAAACTACAGCTCACTCAGAATGGGATAATATACTCCTAAATGAGTCAGTGTCACATCCTTGATATGGTTCAATGTACAGCGAAGAATACATTACTGTGTCTTATTTGAACGTATGAATTCTGGAGTAACATGGGCGTAACACGCTTCACATTATTCAAAGATGGAAAGACTTCTCCAAGAGGTAAGCTTCTACAAAAGAACAACTGTTCATTCTCCTATGAGTGCCTACATCAGAATATTCTACCGAAGAGTGTCAGATATAGACAGACTATCAACTGACTGTTCAATGAGATTGAAAAATGATAAGCGACATAAAGGTCAGAGGTTAAACAGAGGAAAAGTCAACAGGAAAATCTATACAATCAATGATACAACAATCAAAGGAAATAACCGATCACAAGCCGATTTGTCAGAGCAAGCTACGAAATCACTCATGGAGACATATGGACAGCTAGCTCATACTCCATACTGAAATTAGTGTTGCAGATGACGTCGTCTAGAAAGATGAAAGCTCAACAACTAAACAACCAAGCTCAGAGAACACAATATAACCAAGACCATCCACCTGAACTACAAGATGTCATGTGTACACACACTAAATTCAATCACTTCAACTTTTTATATAAACACATTAAAGAAAGTAACACTATTGTATATAGTTCACTTTGTTTTTTCAACCCAGAACCAACTATGTTTTCAAACAAACCGTCGAGTTTCCGGAGATTCAATACCTAGCTCTCATAGTCTTCCAGGTGTAGGCATAGCACTAACCAATAGGGCAGAAAACTCACTATTAGACTGGATCCCAGTTGATAGCTGCCTCTGCGTTATCCAACTGAATGGCACAATGAGAACTAAAAAGGAATAGGGAGACTCGCTGTTGTCTCTTTGTAATCTCTTCTTACGCACCCACTGACTGTAGTTCGGATGAAGTGAAGGACGAATTCTACCGTAAACTGTCTAACCTCCTCTCGACGTGGTGGTTGCTGCAGGTGGGTGGACTGAGTGAGGCAGAAAGGCACTTAGATGGCACTTTCGGAGTCCCGGCTGAACGAACCAGATAACGGTGATCGCCTATTTTTAGCTAGCACAAATTCCAGACATAAGAAAAGACACTGTCTGACGTGGCATTCACCAAGTTCAACTCAGCGATGGATACAGATAGACCACATCGCTATTAGTCATCGCTGGAGAGGATCGGTGGAAGACTGCCGCTCTTTCTGGAGTACGTGTTTGGACAGCGATCATGCGTTGGTCCGAGCACGTATATGCCTGCATCTCAATGGAAGTAGGAAAAATTTGGCAACAAAACCACTACGAGTACTGCTGGACAACGAAAACACCAAAGCCGTGTTCAGTGAGAAGTGGGCTAGGCAGTTATCGGAACAAAAGATTGTCAGTCATCCAGAAGAAGCTTAGTACCATCTCTAGTCCGCTGTAAAAGCAGCATTGAAGACCGTTACCGACTTCAACCGAGAACCAACAATATTTTCAAATATTGAAGTCATGGGTTCGAACCCCAACACGCTTTACAAATGCTTAAACCAACCATAAAACCATTTCTTTGGCTTATCAAATACAAGAGTTTAGCGGATTAGTTAGTGAAGTACTCGCCGGTCAGTATAAAAAAACCCACTCTGAATATCTGGAACCTGCTTTGTTTCTTTAACTCACTCTTTTTCGTCTTCAGAAAGCTGAAATGAAACATGTGTACTGTAATGTGTTGACCGGGCAAGTTTTCACCTTATCTACTTACTAATTGAAAAGAATATATTCCATAATACGTCATTATGTTGTTCTCTTGCTTGACAACCGACGTCAAATGGACGTCCTAGGGTTAATCCATCTATCCATACAAATCAATATAGGACCAGGGATTACTGAGTAACGGTACAACATGCCACAGATCATATCACCACATCAAGTAAAAAGACGAAAAAGTGGGAGATAAAGAAGAAAAAATTTTGTCACAGGAGATATAAGCTACTTAAAGAGAGAAAGGAAGAGTGAGAAAATGGTGAGATTCGGCATAGCATCGTTAAGATGAGGATAATGTGTGTGTGTATATACATCTGCGCCACTCACATCGGTTCTGAACCATGTCACCTAGAGTCAATCTCCAGCCACTGGTTTCTCTTGTCCCGCCGATTCCAACGTCCTAGTCTGCATCGCCCCACATCGCTCAAATAAACAGCCAAACACTTCATACATTAGTGTCATGTTTTGGTCTAGCCACCCCCAGCATTTTTCCAGTCTGAACCTGCTTCGGCGACTAGGCATAAGTAACACGTGTACCAACCAGTGATCTCAGTCGATGAAGATTCACAACCGTGTCGGCTGATTTATCTCTTCTCCTTCTCTAAAACCCTACACCTGACTTCTGCATTACTCACGTGGTGACACTAAGGAATATGGCCTATACTATGGCAAAGACAACGGTGGTCAAACACTTGAAGCTTTCTCATGTCTTCCATCTTCAATGGTCATGTTTCACAGCCTTACAGTAGAACAGACCGGAATGATGTGCAGTACACACGACTCTTAATAGGCAATCGGAAATTTTGGCGGCGTCACAGGTGGCGTAAGTTGGCATAAGCCAGCTGAAACTTTTATACTCGTGCAGAGATTTCATCACTCACTGAGTCAACAGGGCTGATGCGACCTCGCAGGTAAGTGAAGTGGTCCACACACTCAACCACTACATTACCTATAATTAGCCGTGGCACCGTTAAAGACCAATCCTAGGGTCTTCCTAGGTCTCCCTCTCGTCACCAGGTTATACAGAGGTTGACCTAATCACAAGAGGATTTTCGTTAGACCTAGAATAGGCAGATGACATAGTCCTGTTAAGTGAAGACGCTGACAAGATGCAGAGTTTCCTGAACACTGAGTGGCAATTTGAAAATGTTTGGGATGCAGTTCTCACCACCAAAATGTAAATTTTTGCTCCAGGACTAGTCTTCAGCAGTGCCACGGCTAACAATAGAGAGTGAAGTGGTTGAGTGTGTTGACCACTTCACTTATCTGGGAAGTAGGATCAACCCTGGTGGGTTAGTTGCCGATTAAATCTCTGCACGAATACAAAAGGCTAGATTGGCTTTTGCCAATTTACGTCACCGTGATATCCGTTTGTCTATTGGGGGTCGCGTGTACTGCACAGCAGTCCGCTCTGTTCTACTGTATGGCTGTGAAACACGGCCATTGAAAGTGGAAGGTACGAGAAGGCTTCAAGTGTTTGACCACCATCGCCTTCGTCGTAGTATGGGCCGTATCCCGTGGTGTCACCCCGTGAGTAATGCAGAAGTCAGGTATAGAGTTTTAGGGAGTAGAGGAAAATCACTTGACGAAGTTATGAACCTTCATCGATTTAGATGGTTGGGACACGTACTACATATGCCTAGTCACCGATTGCCTCGTTACACACAATGTTGGCCGAAGTAGTTCCAGGCTGGAAAAAGACTCGAGGTGGCCAGACTAAAACATGGCATCAATGTATGAAGTGTTTACCTGTTGGTTTGAGCGATGTAGGGCGATGCAGACTAGGTGGTTGGGGTTGGCGGGACAAGAAGAACCGGTGGTTGGAGACTCTGGGGGATATAGCTCAGAACTGATGTCAATGGTAAGATGTATCCCCCCCCCCACACACACACACATTATCCTCATCTTAACGACTCTACATCGAATCTCACCATTTTCTCATTCTTCTTTTCTTTCTTCTCATACTTTGTATTTCTTTTGACTGCATTCTCTTATCTTCATCTTTCACCTCACTACCTTTCTACTTGATGTAGTGATATGAGGTGTGGCAACTCGGACCGTTACGCAGTAATGCCTGGTCCTATGTTGATATTGATTGACTCCTAGGGTTGATACCTGGATACTCCTTGATTACTGACATTACATTGGAGTTCAATTGATGGCTAATGATGGAAGACAAGAGGCGTGTTTTTTCCTGTTTCGGACTCACTTATCAGCTGAATATGTCTACACCATCCCACTGGGTTGGTGTCACAATGACGACAACATCACTTACTAGGGTCATATTTTTCTCCGCTTACTTACACATCATTGCTTAGTGTATTTGTCAATAATTAACCTCTTTCTACAAATCATCTTACTGTTGACAAATAAATGGGATATATTCATATCAAGCATTTTCAAGGTAATATTGAATGAAGACGTGGCTCAGAAGGCTCTGTAATTCACTTCAGTGTATCAAAGTTAATCTAAGACTACGCACAAGAAGAAAAAGCACCTGCCGATTGGAAAAAGGGCTACCTTATCAAACTCCTCAAGAAGGTAGACCTAAGCCTTTACAAGAACTGGCGTGGAGTCATGCTCCTATTCACACCAAGCAAAATACTAAGCCACAACATCCTACAGAGACTAAAAAAATCCTCTGCATTCAAAATTACGACTGGAAAGACGAGTTGGGCATCCGAAGGTGACATGGAGGAGATTATGTGAAGAAGAAATGAAAGCTTCTGGTCAGTCGTGTAGCCAGCTACAAATGATTACAGATTAGAGAATAAAATGGAGATGTGTTATTGAAGTCCTATATCTCGCTAAGAACTCAAAAGACAAATAATAGTAATAATAACAATAATAATACGCGCATCTAAGATTACGTGCAGGCAGATTGGCTTAGTCTTCGTATATTCTCGAAGTAAACAAGAATGTGATCCTCTATCCTACTTCGCTGTCTGTTTGATAATCAAGAGGATACCGTCAGTGGTATCATTTCACTTTGACAATGCGTACAAGGATAAAACACATAACCCACGGTTAATCAATATTCCAGGCAGGTATTCATCATGAACTGTGACATCAATTCGAGGAACATTGGAAAGCTGAAAGCACCCTCAGCAGTGTGCACCAACAACCTCCTGCCGCCAGAGATCGAACCCAATAACCTTCACGTTCCGTGGTCCATATTTCCAACTTCTATCAGTTGGTGATATACAACCACCGCACTTGGTTCCTGTATGCGTGTCTCACAAACACAGGACATATCCATGCCCAGAGCTGCTACACTCTTCCCCAATGAAGCCTCTTGACCAACTTGACAGAGGGTGCGGACATAGGCGGCTTCAATATGTAACTTGGAGCGTGGTTTAAGGAAACCAAGGATGCTGTTCCGTGAACTCAGATCATTGTCAAAGGCTGCAGAACTAGGAGAAATTAGGAGACGTGAAGGAAGATTAGGAGGTAATGAGGGGGGAGGTGGATAGCAGTCTGAGGAAACTTGAGTGCTGAGAGAGTTGTGAGGAAGATTGACACTTCCCGGCTGCCCACACCGTGGAAGCCTATTTCTTCTCAAGTTACCCGAAACAGATTTGTGTGACCACAAAGCCCATCAAACATCTGCTTGAGGCTTGTCACACTCAGCCTTTTGAGTATGATGATTTTGAACTTTTGTATTTTTGGGGCCGGATGGTCGAAAGGAAACGACAAATGAACCAACACCACCGGACCGGCAGACCGTGAGGCATGGTGGGGTGTGTTATTTTTGGGGCCGACCTTTTCTAACCCCCCTCCCCTTCCACTGAGAAGGCAGAATCACCATGGCACTGCTGATCATCCAAGGGGAACACCTTACCGCTATCACACCCCATCCAGCTAGCAGCAGTACGCCTTCGCCCTCAGACCCCACCACAACGGTAACTGCTTTTCGTCTAACCACTATCCAACAAACCAGCATAGCTCGTTGGGTCATTGTGATATGAAAGCCAGACCACTACGTCAAGGTAGCAGCTATCGGTCGAGAAAACAGTGGCTGGAGACTAGAGGATATGGCTCAGAACTGATGTCAATGGTGCAGATGTATCCCCCACACACACACACATTATCCTCATCTTAACGACGCTATACCGATTCTCACTATTTTCTCATTCTTTCTTCTCGTACTTTATATTTCTCCTAACCGAATTTTCTTATCTTCATCTTTCTATCTGATGTACTGATATGAGCTGTGGCGACTCGGACCGTTTCGCAGTAATCCCCCGGTCCTATGTTGATATTGATGACGATCACCTTTCGAGCTAATCAATTAATACATTACAATGATAATCAATATTTGTTTTTATGCGAAAAAAAAGAAGAATAACAACAACTCAATACCTTATGATATATTTCTTGTAAAGCTTGTTGTGCACCTTCAGAACCGGAACCAATTGCTTTTGCTTCATATCCAATATATGTTCCACTTGGATCCATATGATATAATTGTGGTCCTTGTTCATCGATACCAGCGAAAAGTAACGCTACACCAAATGGACGACTCTATTGGTATAGAAACACATACAATATACAGTAACATGCAGATATACAGATAGGTATTATCAGGACACTAATTCTATCATGAATTAGAGGTAGAAGGTGGAATATGTTGAATGAGCTGATTGCTGATGTTATCTCCGGTTACGGTTGACGAGATACCTGGTTTTTTAATCAAAGGACAAGAATGTTGCACTGCAAGTCCACTCTGTCTTGTCTATTGAGGAGAGTAGAAGATACGAAGCGGTTGATAACAGATATCTCCCTTCCCCCCCCCATACAACTTCATCCTCTTTAGGTGGGAGGGGGGGGGCGTTGTTTTAGTCCATCTATCTGTCGAAAATGCAATTTATCAATCTTGTGTACACAAATCTGTGCAGTAAACAATAGAGCCGCAGACATATTATATGCGATAGTTAATGTTTAAATTTCGGTAGGCGGAGCGGTGACGCATCAGTTGAAAGTCGACAGTCTAATAGAGCAAATGAACTCCAGTTTCACAGGCAACAGGAGGGAAAATCTTGTCATCAAGAATTGAAGAAAACCAAAAGACATAGGAAAGAACAACGATATGCGATATTACGATTTAGATAGAGGCATGAATGAATTCGACTTATATTATCAAGAATCTTCAAACCTCAGGGATCAGTTATCTCATAAGCCTTCAACTAGTTGAAAGAAGCCTGGCGAGGACTTCATTAATCAGTGTCATCTCTCACACTAAACACTTTTAACTGATTACCAACATGCTTTTATTTCAGAGATAACGTTGCATGTCATGCTTGTTGGTGGTATCTTCATGTGGACGATATCTGGGCCACGATTTGAAGATGCACTCCTGTCCGGATGCCTCGATATCATGTCTCAGTGGCATAGGGGACAACGCTTTGGCGTTTAAAACGATTAGCCCTTTCACTTCAGTTCTAGTGGGAGTGGAGTGGGTCCCAGATACGACGAAACGCGCATCGCGGATCTAATGACTGTTAGTTCATAGTTCTAAAAACCAATACTTCAACAAAGACATTTTTACATACATCGAGGTCTTTATTCACAGTCAACTGTATGGCCAAATAGTAGATAGATTCAGTTGATAAGACAATCTGAGCAAGTAACCGAGGCAGACACAAACACACGTTCGATATCTGACGAGGCGGAGTCATGGGTGTACATTTTTCAAGAGTCCCCGGTTTTCAATAGTAGACCAACTGACTTCACTATATGATAAATGCTAATTTGCTTCAATGGTTCCAGCTACAGCCCGCTGGTTTAACCAATCAACTTCCAACCAATCGTTTACGGGTTCGAACACCGCTTCACTAGTCAAAATTCAGGCAGTCAGGTAAGTGGCTCAATGTGCTCAAGGTTGCTAAGCACATTTCAATTCGATTCGATATCATCTTGGCATTTGTAGTTCAGTAGACTAGACAATGAACATACACTGCTTATTCTAGTTACAAAAGACAACTCGACTAGTGCGTATACATACACGTGAACAGAATAAATGTCTGTACAGATTGGTATATCAATGAATAACTATCGAACTTCAGACGTACAGTCATCTTGATAAATATTCGAAATAAGTGATAGTTGTTAATTCCTTACATGATTTGTTCTCACCCCCTTGTGATGTTAATCTTGTATCCTTTTTTATACCTTAAGTTTTATACTACTTACTATTATTAAGTAGCATGGCTCATCTTCAAAGAAGCCGTATATCTTGTTCACTGGTTAACTTCTCTAGATATGAGTACTTTTTCGGATTCATGATAATGCTGAATGGATTCCTTCTGTTGCCTACTTGAATAATTGTTTATTTGCCTTCGATATAGCCTTGCTGTTGTAGTGCCGATACACTTTCTGGTTTGATGATGGCGGTAAACCAGCAGACACGTCAGGAATTCACTTTAGTTCCAAATTTCTCGAGAAGGAATTATCGCTTACAAGAGTTATATCATATGATTATAGGGGTGTTTTCAAGAGCAAACTAAAAAAAGTTGTTTCCCAAAACAAAATGAAATCCTTTCTCTCTCTCCCTTCTGGACAATGTGCCAAAATACAGGTTTGTACTTCGTGATGATTAAAGAATGTAAGAATGATTCTTCGACGGTTGTCTAATAGCACAATTTTTTAGTGATTGAAACTGGTCAAAGGGTATAATACTCAATTCCTACAGGCTAACTAAGACTTCAATTTAACCAACTTACAAATAATCCTTGACTATTGTGCCTAAATGACTCTGACACTAATCCGTCTGGTTCTACTGACCCTTCTTGATTCATGTTACCTAAAGCCTTCACAACTTCTACAAGAGTCAGAAGATCTATCTCAATGTTCCATAAGAGGCAAAGGAATTTTAACTGGATGACAGTTTAACTGTTTCTTGAAGTATTTCACCTATCATTTCAGTTGTCTCTCTTGGGAGTGAATGGTAGACTTATTGTTGTTCGTTAAGGTCTCATTAACCATGACTTCTTTGACCCAGTTTTCTAATCTTACCTTTCCCTACTGCGTTTTCCATTCCAACTGCTCACAATCATTGCGAGAACTTGTTCGTTGTGACTGGGGCCTGCTGTATGATGCGTTCAAACTACTTTCTCGAAGTCACTGGCAGTTCTTTATCCCATTTTTTAAGGAGATAGCATCAAGCTTTCTAAGAATGACAACTCTTTAACTAACTCCTTCACAACCTTCTTCAATAAACTTATCTCGGGACGGTTTTGAAATTGTGGTTTTTCTACATCTACTCAAGCATAAGCAGGTTTACACTGACCAAAATAATATGCTCTAGAAGGAATGGCAATCTTTCATCGACCCTCTTCAACGATCAATCTATTTTACACATGTTGAAAATGTCTCTTTCAATGTTTTAAGTTTGAGCACCGTTTAAGCGACTTACTATTTCGATTAGCCTTCCTAATTGTACATTGAAATTACCTTCTATGAAAACTACTTTTGAGTGCTTGGCTTTCACAGTAGAAAGCTAAACAGTTTTCAGTAGAAATCATCCTTCACTTCATCCTAACTGTAGTTAGTAGATGTGTAAGCAGAGATCACAAAGAGACAACGGAGAGTTTCACTATTTCTCAATTTAATTCTCACTGTGTCGTTTTAGTCGGACAGCGTATAATCGATTGTCAACTAAGATGTAATCGAGTAGTGAGCTCTCTACTTCAATGATAAATGCTGTACCTACACCTGCAAGACCGCAAGAACTGGTCATTAGATCTCCGGAAACTCTAAGGATAAGTCTCTAAGATTAACCATAGTGGACGGGCAAAGTTGGTCAATTCGACGGAGGGTACGAACATTGAAAGCTTCAAAAGTGTAATTTTGAGCATGGTTTCAGAAGACCAAGAATATGGTGAACTCGAGTCGTTATGGATACATTCAGGGTTAGAAGACAATGAAAAGAATATTGGATTATTGACTGAGACAATATCTGCAAGATTGGTAATGATTTGAGAGAACTTCGGGTGTCATAAGGGCGATTAGCATTTCTCGGTCACCTACAACATGGAAGGTTAGATCTTGAGATATCTGAGAAAGAAGTTGGATTAGTTTGTCCAAGGGACATCTGCTTGAGACTGCCGGTACACAACCTTTTTGGAAACTTTGACTGATTTGCACACACACATACAGCTAGAATACCCATGCCACTTATATCCAACTATTGCAGAACCAGAGGAAGTGTGCGATATAGCGTCCAACGTATTCCTAACCCCGCTACCTGTAGGGGAGGGGAAGCATCAGCGTAGAACTGGTGATCGTTCATGAGAAACATCTTATTGCTATCCCCTTCATGTCTAGTCAGTAGTATGACTTCGCCTTCGGACCCTTATCACTGCGTAGTAATTTATGCTTAGGACTATCTAACTGGCCTTTGTGGTGTGGTAGAACCTAGAAGGAATAAGCGTTCCAACAGCATAGCTTGCTACGTCAATGCGATATCCAAGTAGAACCTACTAACACCAAAGGGACAACTGTCTATAGGAACACATTCCGTCTGTATTATTACCTGGTTGGAACGGTAGACTTAGGCACCATAGTGTTTATTAACCGGTACGATTGCATATTCAAGGTCGAATAGCTGTTCTCCGTTTAGTATGTCTACACGTCAATCTGAGCCATCTTTGCGTCGTAACGTTAGTTTGACCGTAAAAGGTCGGGTTCACAACGCTTCAGTGTGAGCAGTTCTGCTCTACATCTGTGAAACCTGACCTCTCCCAACTGAGGACGTGCGACAGCTCTGTGTTCGATTATCGCTGCCTCCGTAGAACTGCCTGTATCCTGTGGCAACACCATGCAGGTAGTAATTCTGAAGTACGACAGTGTGTTTTGGTATGATGGAGATCGTCATTCAATAAGTTAAGTTATCTGGAAACACCGTCTCCCGATACCTGTTACACGCATATGGTCCCAAAGGGCTTTCAAGTCGTTCATTGTTTGCTAGACTTGAGACTGTATGGAGGGAGCGGAGAGGTGGTCAGTGTATGACATGACGGCTCAGGATGAAGGATATTTGTATCAGTTTAGCATCTGCTGGTACATCATGATTCTCGAGGTAGGGTCCGAGAAATCATACAACTCAGTGGCTTGAGACGTTATCAGATACGATTGACAATCGAAACCAAAGACGGTCATGCTGTAACTTCCGCCTATCTTCTGCTCCGGAAAAGTAAAAAAAAAGGTTTCCTTTCAAGTTTACCTTACTGCCCTTGCCGTACCACGTATGTGTTCCAATAATAATAATAACAAGAAGAAAAAGAATAGGAAGGAGGAGAATTGGAAGAAGAAGGGGAATGGGGAGAAGAAAAAGCAGGATGGGTAGAAGAAACAGGAGAATGGGCAGAAGGAGAACAAGAAGGGGAATGGGAAGAAGAAGTAAAGGAAGAACTTTGACCATGTCTTAAATACTGTCAACCAAGACCAATGAAGAGTGAGAGACAAAATCAGAGTAGAGCCCCTCACACGACAGTCTCACCCCTAAGTTACCACGCTTCACTGTAGTATACAAAGAACAAGTGGATAAGAAAAAGAGACTGATATAAAAGTCTAAAAATTTCTAAAGAGAGAACAAACAATTGAAAGATAACGGTTAGTGCAAAGATAACGTTCCACGAGTGTACGCATCTGCGCCACTGTGAATGATTTCCAGCCACGACATCAAGAGTCGTCAACCACTGACTCATATATCGGGGACCGCATCTAGATAGTTTACATCTCTCTACATGACTCCAACCAACAGTAAGCGATATCATAGATTGGTATCATGTCTTGATGGCATCATCCTGAACCCTCTTCTAATCTAATCCACATTCCTCTAGCATAGCAGATTGAAGTAGGAGGTGGATTGAAATGTGTAACAGATGTTCAAGTCACCTCAGTCGATGAAGGTTCACAATCTCATCAATCGACTTACTTGCTTAGTACCCTTCACCTAACTTCCAAATTTCTCATACAATGATTCCTCTAGGTTATTATGTTCAAAAACCCATCGTATCTTTCACTTTTGGCGGTCATGTTTCACAGCATAGAATGAACTACAGCACAGCATACTCATCCTTTGGTGAATGCTCTGATATCTCCCCAGTCAGGGCCGCAAATGACGCAAGTTGGCAAGTACCAGTCGGGTGTTCCGTATTCAAGCTGAGATTTTCTTAGCAACCAGCTCCCTTCAAGCAGCTCCTCAAGTAAGCGAAGTGATGGATACAGCCAACAACACTTCCTATCACCAATAACGTTCTACGACAGTAGTGCAAGTATGAATCTTAAGAAAAGGAGATGACTATAGGTACACTTTACTAATTGTTGCCTAAAATAGTAACTATAAATGGGATAACACTCTGATTTCAACATGTCTGAAGACATGGTGTGACAACTTGACTTATCATACAATAATCTTATGTCCCACGTCAATGTCTACAGACAATAAAGTGAGCCTCTGCTGAACTGCCCAACACCAAGACGACAGTTGCATATCAAATCGTATCCTTAGGATAGTTAACAACTAAATTATCATAATCGATAGACAAATAGACAACTGAATAGTCGACACTTAACTAATACGTCAAAATGACGTGTTGCTCCCATTGCCTAATCCATAAACCTATACATGATTGGGTTATTGAGTTCCTGTATATCTCACCTAACGAATAATCGGATAGTATAATAAATCTCTACAGAATATGATTATCACATAACCTAGTACATAAACGTGTTTATGATAATTAATTGGATTGAAACAGTTTAAGTGAGTTTTTAATCTCTATAAATTGAAAAGGAGGACATACCATTGCTCCAGACTCCATATCATCATCTCCAAATGCTAGGGCTAAATTACTGACAGCTTTAGTTACATCTTCAATTGTCATCTTTTCATTATATACAAACCAATGATGAGCTGCTTCTGTACGTGCACGTTCTATTAGTGTTCTTGCATCAGCGACTAGTCCACTGACAGCACATGCTGGATGATGATGAGAAAGTGAAAACAGAACAAATTCCATACAATTCAGACCAATATGTATTTTGAATAATTTCTAACTTACATACATTAAGATAAGATGTTGTGTGCAGTGAAGAAAAATTATTCTTTCTGCACATTCGTGAATAAATTTTACAGTGCGTAGAGCCTTTCAGAATTATTACCGGTGGGGGATAAAATGTAGTGAATAACTATTTTCTTATTATTATTTCATACTTGGAACACTGAGCTTCAGTAGTACGTCGCCATTTCACTCTCATCTCGGCAGTCGTTTGTTTTAACCTTAGATTAATGAAAGCCTGTCTTGGTTCTCCGATTTTGGCTTTGACATCCTCATCTGTGTCGCTGCCTGTAGTTGAAACGATGCTGAGTAGGTAGCTGAAAGAGATAACTTCCTTTACATTTCTCCCGTTGATGATGATTGGTGCTTGTTGTTGTTGGTTGGGTATCTTCATCACCTCCGTCTTTCCTACATTCACTCGAAGTTCCGTCTTAAACAACAACAATATTACCTATCTTCTAATTTATAATACCCTTTAGTTTTATACCCCAATCTTTCCCGAGTTGACGACAGGATGGTAATATAACGGTCTCAAACGGCATAAGACAGATTCGTATACGTATGTAATTGTATTCTAAAGACTGGCATTCCAAACAGCAAGGTTTTTAAACCATGAATGCATCTGTGCCACTGTGACCGACTTACAGCTATATGACCAAACTTTAGTCCTCAACCACTGATGCTTATCGTCTTTGGGACTCCCAAACAGTCTACACCTCTCCACAAAGGCGCAGATCGACAGTCACGGACTACATAGACGGGATTCTGAGGCTTCTTTGAACCTAATCTAACTTCCTCTAGCATGACACATAGAGGCAGGTGGTAACTTGACATGCGTAACACTGTGATAGATAACAAATGTATACTGGAATTATTCAAGTTATAATAACTCATACATTTCATCATCAAATACCTAATTTCGAAGCAGAAGCATAGTGAATATGCCTTGTAAATCTCATCTATGATATGTTGTACCGTAATGTACTTGAACAGAGGAATAAACCTGTTTAATCATGGGAAAAGACAAGACGTGGTTTCAGGAAAGAGAACAATTTCTTTTCAACGAAGTCACTTGCTGCTAAGCTGTACATTCGTGAATATATGTGTTACAGTGGGCAGAATGTTCCACAGTTATTTCCGGTTAGGGCTAAAATATATTGAATAACTAACTACAGGAAGTTAATTAATCGATGTTTGGGTTTAGAGTGGGAAAATAAACAAGAGATTATGGAAATACATGTATAATTACGTGGTACAGGATGAATCTATGACAGTCAAGACTTTATGATGGTCTTATTCTGTTCACCTGCCCTTTGAAAACCATTGCGAAGTGTGAAGTTCTTTGCTAATTCTATCTGCCTGTCTGTAACATAGAGTGATCCAACTCTAAATCTTAAGAGGAAAATGAGTTTTCTTCAGAGTTGATGCAGTTAAACCTTCAAGTAAATAAGCACGTCATCCTAATAGACACTAAATATTAGGATAAACACGTATACCCATCCGACTGGTATAATTTTTATATGGTTTAAAAACCTTACTGTTTGGAATGCCAGTCTTTAGAATACAATTACATACGTATACGAATCTGTCTTATGCCATTTAAGACCATTATATTACCATCCTGTCGTCAACTCGGGAAAGATTGGGGTATAAAACTAAAGGGTATTATAAATTAGAAGATAGGTAATATTGTTGTTGTTTAAGACGGAACTTCGAGTGAATGTAGGAAAGACGGAGGTGATGAAGATACCCAACCAACAACAACAAGCACCAATCATCATCAACGGGAGAAATGTAAAGGAAGTTATCTCTTTCAGCTACCTATTCAGCATCGTTTCAACTACAGGCAGCGACACAGATGAGGATGTCAAAGCCAAAATCGGAGAACCAAGACAGGCTTTCATTAATCTGAAATCATTGTGGAGATCTGCACTGCACTGCGCGGCACTCAGCATGTGGGACAGGATCCGAATTTTCAACACTAATTCAGTCAATCAAGTCAGTGCTTTTATGTGATGGTTGAGAGAATTGGAGTGTTACGAAGAGCATTTCCAACAAACTACAGACATACATGAAGAGCTGCGACCTACGCTCACTCAATACTGAAGATCAGTGGAGATGAGATGGCCAGAAAGAATAAGCAAGAAGGAACTCACTGTAGGTGGCAACGAACCAATCAGGAACCCATCGCCCAACAAATATGGAGGAGAAAATGGAGATGGATTTGATTGGACATATACTGAGAAAATGGCTTAGGGACATGATGCGCCAGGCGGCCAGTTTGTTGAGTGGAATGCAGTTGGGAAACGACGAGTTGAGTGTTTGAGGGTGATCACATGGAAAGATGGTGTGAGGAAGAAAGGAGGGCTTCTGAGTAGTCGTGGAGCCAGGTTAAAACAAACGACTGCCGAGAAGAGAGTGAAATAGCGACGTACTACTGAAGCTCAGCGTTCTACTCTGAACACAAGGGAGAAATAATAATATTGTTGTTGGTCACCTCGACAAATCTTGAAAGACAGGTGAACAAAATCAACGTACACCTCTGCATACAGGTACATTAATTCAAGTTACCCCACGCTTTACAATAGTATACAAAGAACAGGTTGATAGAAGACGAGTAATATCAAACGGAGAAGAGTTCTGTGAGAATAAATAATTTGAAGATAAACGTTAGTATGGATATTGAAGTTCCTGAAAATGTCAAGGAGTGAATACATATGTACCATTGTGACCAATTTCCAACTATATGACGAAGATTCAGTCCTGAACCACTGGTCTTTATCGTCTACGGGAACCCAAAAACAGTCTACACCTCCTCCCTTTACAAAGGCTCATACCAACAGTCAGGGAATTTATCGATTGATGTCACTTCTTTGTTTGGTCACTCTGAATGAGGAAGTCATTTTTGGAGAACTAATTTTGTTGTCACGAATAAATTTCACATATACTATGTACTTTGCCACAACGTGAAGCTAAAAAACACACACCGCCAACTCAACAACTCGCTAGTGACAAGAATCAAGACATTGGTCTAATGCAGAAGAGAGCAGGTAAGTCTTCCATGAGTGTTTGTATCGTCTTAGCAAAGACAGAAACTCCTTTTCAACGCTTGTGTATGAAAGTTCAATACCTTTTTCACTTTGAGTCAATTTCTGAGCAAGCAGTTCACAATCCTCTTCTATTTGTCCATTTTCCAGGTAATAATCTCCTCATCCCCTTCTGATTGTAGCTCTCCTATAATAATATTTTGAATCCCTGCAACCGACTACTAAAAGTATCCATTCTGTGTTGTCTGTTAACTAACTCACTAATCAAACTTGGGAGACTAAGATTAACCTTGGGCCATCTATTAATCGTTTATATTTACGATAACTTGATCAGATTATCTACACTACTTAGGCGTTGTGTAGTTCAACACAGCCTCGGTGAATACATCATTCACGCAACCATGACCCATACAGACATACCTCATTGTGTTAATTAGTGTGGTAAGTATAGTGTTACAATTGATTTTGCTCATTAGAGATTAACAGAAACGAAATCAGCAGTCCTGTGCACACTTTCATGCAGCAATAGGCCAGAAGTTACACACCTATTATGTAAGGACTACTGACGATACTACCTGATTCCCCAAACCTAGGTAAGTGGAGTGCGTTATTCGACCCTGAGACTTACTGCTTGAAAATCAACTTCATAACTCAATGAGCCACATAAAATGCAATCACCGATGATGGAAAATGCACCATCGAGAAATTCGTATAGGAACCCATCCACCAACAGAAGTCGAGCAATTTGGCCTTGTACAGCAACAGGAAATTACAAGAAAATCTCCTTCTCTACTAAACAACTTCAGGAAATCCAATGTACACCACTTCCAATAGTTTGGAGATGCATATCACTTCGACAAATATCGATATCTTTACTCTGCTAACTGGCTAAATATATACTGAAAGATATCAGACCTTGTCAGTTACTAACTTCATCATCTAAGCGGGCTCAAATATCATCACATGTATTGATCGATTTCTTGTCCTCTATGATTTGGAACCCATTTTAATTTCGCAAGAGCACTAAATTGGGCACATTAAGAACGTCTGAGGGTTTGTTCTATATCATATCCATTGATTATTACTTGTCCCTTGAGTTCCTAGTGGAACACACGGCTTCAGTAGCACGTCTCCGGTGCACTCTCTTCTCTGCAATATTTTGAACTTGGCTCCACGACAGCCCACAAGCTCTCATACAATCTCTTTCATGTTACCCTCAAACGCTCAACTCGTCGTTTCCCATCTGGGTTCTACTCGAGCGACTGGCCTAGCGCGTGATGTCCCCAGTCAGTCTTCTCAATGTATGCCCAATCCATCTTCACTTTCTCCTTCTGCATATTTGTTGAGCGACAGCTCCTTGGTTGGTTGGTTCGTCACCAGCCAGAGTTCCTTGTTGCTAATTCTTTCTGGCCATCTGAGCTTCAGTAATGAGCCAGCGTAGGCAGTTGTTGATGAATATCTGTAGTTTGTTGGAAATGCCTTTCGTAACGCGCCAAGTCTCTGAACAATATAGAAGCAGTGACTTGACGTTAGTGTTGAAAATCCGGATCTTGTTCACGCTTCATGCTGAGTGCAGAAGATCTCCACACTGATTTTAAGTTAATGAAAGCCTGTCTTGCTGTCTTTCCGATCCTGGCTTTGACGTCCTTGTCTGTGCCGCCTGTAGTTGAAACACTGCTGCCTAGATAAGTGAAAGAGGTGATTGCCTAACTAGACAGACCAAATCAACATGACTACACATCATAGCAGCATACAGAGAACGGGTGGATAGAAAAAGACCGATATCAAAGTAGATAAAGGTGTATTGGAAGAAAAAGAAATTGAAAATGAAGGTTAGTATGAATATTCAAGCTTTAAAAATGTCAAGGAGTGAATATACCTGTGTCACTGTGACCGATTCCCAGTCATATCGCCAAGAGTCCTCAGTCACTAATTCCCATCATGTCGAAGACCTTAGACAGTCTACACCTCTCTACATGGATCAGACCAACAGCGACAGACTTCATGAACGGATGCCACTTTATACTCTCTTACAATCTAATCCAATTGGTGCCAGTGTCACAGGTAGTGGGTCGGCATGTGCAATATATGTTCAAGCCACCTGATTCACTTAAGGTTCACAACCTCATCGACCGACTTTTGGATCTTGTTTAGTACTCTTCACCCAAACTCAACATGGCTCGCACAATGACTTCACTACAAATGACCAATGTTACGAGGACGCCTGAAGTTGGAAACCAGTTATCTCTTCATATCTTCCACTTTCAACAGTCATGTCTCAGCCAAACGAGCCATGTGTCAAAAATGATTACGTCAGCAAACAGGCCAAGACAAATGTACCACCTACAACAAGGAGACGTGCTGTGTACTGGATATAATATGGCAATTTTATCCATAAAACGATCCTTGATGGAGTCATGTCCCACCAAAAAAACTCCTGTTTAAGCAGTAGTCGAAAGAAAATTACAAGCACATGCTACTTTTCTGAGACAAAAACAAATTGAACCAACATTCTAAGATAGGCAGTCCAGAATTCGTTCCTGACTGAACACCAAGACACAATGTGAAGTAAAGAGCAGATGGCAAGTTAATTCATTAATTAACATCGAATAGTGACGGATAACTGTCCTCAGTTAGCAACTTAATGGACCACGACTATCCAAGTAAAATTTAAGATGGTATGCTGCCTAACCGAGTGTGAATTTATCAAACTTGAAGTGTAGTCAGCAACCATGAGTATGTATGTACAGTAGGCAACGAAACACGCCTACTGTATGGGGGCTAACGTTTTTGCCACACTCTTTAAACTTCAGAGTGGAGCTGAGTTAAAACCTTTCAACCACTAGTTGGAAGACGAGTGGTTACACCAATGAACCACAGCATACTATTAAGCTTCTTGGTACATTTGTTCTACGAGAAGAAACCACCAGCAACTGTAGACTGGCTGTCAACTTATCAATAGCGAACAACTGTGTCAAAAAGGAATGATGATACACTTGAAGAGGTCTCTAACATGAACGTGTTATCATCAACCGCTACTAACGCATATGACGCATAGAAAAAAACACATTTCATTTCATGAAAGTACTTTCACAAAAATATGATCATGAAACTATCGTAGACAACATGAGTCACTGTTGGGACAGTCTTGCCAGCTTTACCGATAGCTTAATGGTGTTAAATTGATGTATGCATACGGGTCTATACAAAGCTAACATCCATTTCGTTGAAACACGTCACATTACCTTGTGTTGATATGCCTTGAGATCTCTTGAGATCCTAATTACGGCCTATTTTTAACAAAAGCAAAGTGATGACATCTCGGCACGAAATATTGAAAGGTATCATAAGATAAGAAAACCAACATAGACAGGAACCGCTAATGAAGAAGACGCTTAGATTCTCCTAGCATGATAGTCACTTTCTCATAGCGTTTACGTTCTTCAGCATTTATAATCCACTTCAGACTAAAATGTAGGAGAAAAGTAGCTTGACAGAAACTAAAAAACTAATAAAGAAAGGCGAGAAGTCCTCTTGTGATAACCACAGAGGAATCAGCCTGACGAACGTAGTGTCTAAGATCCTAGGTTCTATAATTCTCCGATGCCTGAGTGCAGCTCGGGAACAGCAAGCACGAGAAAACCAGGCAGGCTTTAGACCTGGCCGTGGATGTATCGACCAAATATTCACACTGCGCCAGGTCCTGGAACATAGGCATCCTTACAGACGCAAGACAATAGCTGTATTTCTCGACCTGAAAGCAGCATTTGACTCCATTGATCGAGAAGTCTTATGGCAATGTCTGTCACTGAAAGGCGTGCCTAGTAAGTACATCACCTTATTGAAAGCTCTCTACTCGAACACTTGTGGGTGTGTTAGAGCCTATGGCGAGTTGTCCAGGGAGCTATACTCATCAAGTGGTGTCCGTCAAGGGTGCCCACTATCTCCATTCTTATTTAATTTTATCATAGATATTCTTATGGAGGTTTCCCTCTCGTCACCTAATTACACAGACGTTGACCCAATCACAGGTGAATTTTCTATAGATCTAGAATATGCAGATGACATAGTCCTGTTAGGTGAAGACGCTGACAAGATGCAGAGTTTCCTGAACACTTTGAGTGGGAATTTGAGAATGTTTGGGATGGGTTTTTCACCACCCAAATGCAAATTTTTGCTCCAGGACTGGTCTTCAGCGGTACCGCGGCTAACAATAGAGAGTGAAGTGGTTGAGTGTGTTGACCACTTCACTTACCTGGGAAGTAGGATCAACCCTGCTCTGGTGGCTCAGTTGCCGATGAAATTTCTGCACGGATACAAAAGGCTCGATTGGCTTTTGCCAATTTGCGCCACCGTGATATCCCTTTGTCTATTAAGGGTCGCGTGTACTGCACAGCAGTCCGCTCTGTTCTACTGTATGGCTGTGAAACATGGCCATTGAAAGTGGAGGATACAAAAAGGCTTCAGGTGTTTGACCACCGTTGCCTTCGTAGTATAGGACGTATTCCGTGGTGTCACCACACCACGTGAGTAATGCAGAAGTTAGGTGTAGAGTTTTGGGGAGAAGAGGTAAGTCAGTTGACAAGGTTACCAACCTTCATCGACTGAGATGGTTGGGACACGTACTACGTACGCCTAGCCACCGATTGCCTCGTCACACAATGTTGGCTGAGGTGGGTCCAGGCTGGAAAAAGGCTCGAGGTGGCCAGACTGAAACATGGCACCAATGTATGAAGTCTCTGACTGTTGATTTAAGCCATGTAGGACGATGCAGACTAGGTGGTTGGGGTCCACGGGACAAGAGGAACCAGTGGTTGGAGACGATTCTAGGTGATATGGCTCAGAACCGAAGTCAGTGGCGCAGATGTATACATACATTATCCTCATCTTAACAACGCTATACCGAATCTCACCATTTTGTCACTCCTCTTTCCTTTCTTCTCATACTTTATATTTCTTTTGACTGCATTCACTTATCTTCATCCTTCACCTCACTACCTTTTTACTTGATGTGCTGATATGAGGTGTGGCAAGTTGGAGCGTTACGCAGTAATGCCTGGTCCTATGTTGATAATGATGATGATGAATAAAGCTGGTTGATGACGAACTGAAACATGACAGGTAAACAAAGGTAACTATCAGCGTTTCCAAAACCAACAGGATTTTGGATCTAGTTAGAATACCGAAACAGTCAACATGCCTACACTAGAATACCACAATTGGTCCAATTCCTTGTCTAGCGACCTCTCAGATAGTCGTCAGGCGAGTATGATGGAATTTCGCAGAAATGGTAACCGTACTCCAATTTACACAAAATTTACGTTCCCCTTCACAAAATGAATTCAAGTGGAACAGCACAACCGACTACACGTAACGTCAATTCAACCAGACAACCAACGCAGATGTGACAGACTCTCGAAAATGCCGTCAAACTATCAGCTATACAAGCAATGTTATAGAAGGGCTGGATGCAACAGATGCTCCACATTTCAGTCCAACTACACCAAAAGACTAAAACAGTGTAGTTTAATTGCCGTAAGTGTGGATACCATCTGGGTTCAGAGCCAGTTCACCAGTTCTGAGGTTCATTGTCATCCTACTCAGTGGACAGACATATTATCAAAGATATGCATAATCACGATACCGTCATCTGACCACGTATCTCTATTATATACATCGCAAAACTACAAATCAAAGGGATACGCACACTCACGGTCTACACTAGTCTGGTGATCAAACCGACTCTCTTATCGTTACATTCTGACCTAGAATGAGATATATGGTTGTTCACGCTGATCTACAGCTTCGAAGAAATTCATGTTTGTTTACAGATTCGATCAAGCCTTTCGATTTCAAACCTACAGAACTCAACACACGGCTATCTAAGTTCAGCATCGAACATGAATGATGCAAATGTAGGAAATTGAGATTTCACGTCTAGAGTCTTAGTTCTCGGTGCTACTGTAGTAGGGAAGACAGAGGCTTCTAACTTTTTCCTCGCAGCTCTAGTAAGGTGAATACTTTCTGTGGGTCCGTATTCACAAACTGCAGATTGAATAAGCATGGAGGACAAAGGCTGTTAAGAATATCGGGCGCTTTCTTGTGACACCAATCTATACACGTGCCTGAAGTGGAACAGTACTATGAAGGCAAAGACATAGAGGGGCTGGTGTTACCCCCCTCCAAAAAAAAGAACAACCAGCTAGGATGAGAATAGATATTAAAGTGGACTGACAAGATATCCCGGTACATAAAAGAAAGGCAGTAGAACAAGTTCAGTCACGTTCGATTATTACACCCGTAACATGATCCTTGCTATAAGCTACTGTCCATAAAACGTCTCTAATACCCTATCTGATGACTTTTAATGTCACAATCAAATCATCCTTAGAGTGTATATAGAGCAAGTTTCACTCAACAGACACTATCTCACCAATATGTTTATCCACTTCGAAAATCTTCTCAATGCTAGATGGAATGATCAAAGGCGAATTCACCCGTTTCTCCACTGCCATAACGACACCTTCTGATGTCTTAATCCCAATACCAGTTGAACCCAGCTGTTTAGAAAGTTAGTGGTATCACAAAAATATAACCTTTGTAGCCTCAATAGCGTACTCAACTTGGAAGAGCCGTCCTTCTGGGGAAAAGGTATTAACCCCACGATCATATTCTGTCCTAGTCAGAAACATTGCACGCGAAAGTTACAAAGATATTAATTCAACTCCCGCGGACAAACCTTGTCCAATATCCAATATTGATAGTGCGGGCGTAGAAAACTGGTACTTTCTGATCTCTCGCGTCTAGTTCTTAAGGCTTGTTTTGGATTGTTCGGGTCACTCCTGCAGTGCGCGAGGAAATCCCCTCTGCTTCCTTGCTTTTAGCTTTGGTGAGGTGGATGTTTTTTTGGGTTAGTAAGTTGTAATTTGTAGAGTGATTGGGGGCAACGGGTTGCTGAGACGTTTAGGGAACTGCCGTGACTCCTGTCTGTGCAGGTACCTGAAAGAGAATAGTAAGGTAGTGGTAAAAGAATAAGGAAGAAAAAAAGAAAAAAGGGAAGAGAAAAGGGAAAAGGGAAGGAGAAGAAAAGGAGGGGTGAAAAAGAGAAAAGTGAGAGAAAGAGAAAAGTATATGTGGGTTGCCCGAATGGTAGCGTGGGTTTGTTTCCTACAGAAGAATCGGTAGGTTATGTGAGTGTATTAAGGAGAGAGTGAGCGGTAGGTTGGAGGGAGTTGGGGCTAGTGAGGTTGGCGACTATCAGAGTACGTCAGTGGTGAGGTGACATAACTGTCTAATCGTCCCTTCAATGAGTCGACTGAGGGAGCTGTAACGACATGTAGCGGCAAGGCAGTCCATAAAGCACATACTCTCAGGGAGAAGAATTTGGACCTGAGTACGGCGTTGGCTCTCTGGTGCGCTATCTAATGGGATTTCCTCGTGAAGATCGCTGAGTTGCAGGCATAATTGACTCTTTCGGCTGGCTAAGAACGTGCATACATTATTGACTCAATCGCCCCTCGGTCTGTAATACACATCAGGCAACACTTTTGACCACTGTGCCTCCACTCATGCGTCGTCAAGCTTGATTTATGACGAAAACTGACTTGTACTACTGTACAGCACATAGACTCCTAGCTTATTACAAAGGGAAAAGGAAATGGTGGGTGAAATGTTTATTTGTTGGAGAGGTTGAGAGTAGTTGAACCATGGCAGTGTATCGCACCTTCCTGGCACCAAAATATAACCAGGGCTAAGATAAATAGTTTAAATTAAATTAACTAAATGAATCTCTAGCTTGCCTCCGGATGCTTAGGGTGTTTTAAGTTTTTTTCTAGCTAGCATGCATTCGGGCAGGCTTGGACGCCGTTTCGCGCCCCATTGTGCTGGTTACCACACACGTACTCCGAGTCCCTAGTTCAGCCTTACAAGCCAGACAAGTTGATTAAACTTCTCCCCCATTCATTATTATTACATTTACTTTAATTAAATACATAGCTCCTTCAAATACGTTGCGTATCAGTTCTTTTGATTTGTGTTTTGTTATCAGTACTTACACGCTAGATAAAGTACTGGTTAAGCACGTACCAGAGCACAACAGGTTAAGTAGGGTTGATCAAACGTTATGGAATTGTAACACACACCCCTACAAGGTCATCGATAGAAATCAAGAAACGCACCGTCCTAGCATACATAAAGAATGTATGAGAAATCACAACGAGATTGCAAAGACCACTTGAAGTTGCTGTGGCTCATAAATCAGTGAATTCCCTCCAAACACTACTATGCAGATCAAAGGACGCGACAACCATTGAAGACAAGCCGAATATCATTTATGCAATCAACTGGAATAACTGTAGTCAACACTACACTGCACAAAGCGGCCGCCGTCTTCGCCTTCGTCCACATGAGCGCCAATTGGCTTTTAAACGTCACGACATTTCGTCACTCATTTTAATGCATGTGGATAATTCTGGGGGTGAATTCAATTTGACAATGTAGAAACTTTTAGACAGAGGAGACACGAAGAATGTCGGAGAATTTTTAGAAGCTTGGCACTCAGATCAGTCAGCAATCAATAGATGTACAGACATAGACCCCATCTATCAACCAGTAAGAAAAATGAAGACTACAGAAAGGTCAGAGGTGAAGCAGAGGAACAGCCAGCAGGAAAGTCTGTACGGTCGATGACACGACAGTCGAGGGAAACAACCAATCACGGACCACACCGTCAGAGCAAGCCACTAAATCACTCACGGAGAGATACTGACAGCTCACTTCATACTGAAGTTAGTGGTGATGATGTCGCTGTCTAGCGAGACACTGAAAGTGTCCCCCCGGACTCAACAACCCAGCTCGGAGAACACAATACAACCAGGAAATTGGATGGTTATTTGACGAAACATGGAACTATATGGGCGGTTCAAACAGTTCAGCAACTTCAAACTTGAACGTGAAATATTGTGCGATCGTGATGCCACCGAAGGGTGAAAAAAAGATGACTGGAGAGAATCTGAATTCCTAATTACTGTTTCTGCATTGTTAAGTGATATTTTTGGTGTTTCCATAACTTGCGGATACCTAATACTATAGTGGATTTCAGTATTCTCCCTTCCGTACCAATCAGTGCCGCTTGACCGTCGTAGATTTCAGCACCATTATCAATATGTTGATACTTGCAGACCACCTGCTCCAAAGTCAGATTTTAAATTTGAGGGTAAAGCATCTGTTCATCTATTAACTACCATCGCCGGATCAAGACTGTCGTTGCTGTCCTTATTAAAGTTTAAGTTCACTGCGAATTTACGTCCCCATGTGAATGGATGTGGTATCCGTGCGCAGGGTGTCACCACCGGCAAAACTTGAAAACCTGGCACAGTCAAACATGTTGCGAAGCACGAGCTCCAGTAATTTTCCCTCAGAAACTGGCCAAGCTCCACAAATGTGCAAGTGAAACCCCAGAAAAAGGAAGAAGTTGGCTACCACTCCAAGTGAGGCACTCGAAAGGTATTCTCTTGTATCGCCACAACCCAGACGATCCAATGGAACTGGACAACTCGTGGAAACAGGTTGCGCCGAAAACGAATAGACAGAAGTGAATATGGTAAAGGGAAGACCAAAAACACTGGTTATCAAGGCCGATATTACGCACCCACAGGATGAGGGAACGGGTTCCATCATTCTATTCAACTGCCCTATACCAACAGACTCACTATTGGAAAAAAGAGAGCAGTCTGACTGGGAGAAGTGGGACGACCACTGCAGAGAGTTGTGAATAGAAACCATCACAACCGAGTTATGTCGGCCCTCCCAAGGAAGTAGAGCACCTAGAGACGAGGCATCACCTCTCGGGGTATCAGCAATGAAGGCAAAACTGTCGGAAAACATACTGCAGGTGTCGCGCCGACCATACATTGCGGGCTGCTGCACCATAAGGGTGAAACTGGACAAACCTTGGGTCACCAGAAAGCAGGGAGTCCCCGCTTAGTGACCTACGCAAACCTGCAACCATGGTGGTTTAGGGAATACCCGAACTGGCTGGTGGATCCACAAAGTGTGATAATTACCTCCATGATGTCGAGCAGTGGAGGTAGTTAGCGGCAAAATGGGATTTGGAAATTTGTTTGCCAACAGCGTAAGCAGGTTACCAAGACCTAAACACTTGCAGAGCATCAAGGTTGCTCATCAAGATTGCTAGCCGTACGCGCTGACTGCAAAGCATCACTAACAGAAGCTTTCACAGCATGGTACCGTGTGAAAGACCATATGGGAGGCGCTATAAGATGCTAGGAGAGTACACCACGAGCTACCAGGCTAGAAGATAAGAGGCAACCTCCGAGAACACTATAAGCAGTACTAGTCAGAAAAGAATTAGCTGATGAGCTACCTGCTGGCACAATAAACAATACTGCCACTCCAGCAGCAGGATACCAAGAGGGACCAAAAATTCCGGTGTAACGAAACACCAGCCTCCAAACAAGTCCCCATATATCACTGAGCCCAGAACGTAGCTCCTTGACATGCTTCTATAGCGATGTAAGAGGTCTTAGGAGTAAACTACTGGAGCTAAAAACAATGTGCCATAATCTGCAAGCAGATATAATTCTCATCTCGGAGACAGCTATCAGAATACATCGTGGATAAGGAAATATCTTTGTTTAATATGACTCTGTCCCGAAATGACAGGTGGTTCAACGAAGGCTGAGGACTTGCGACGGGTGGTGCCTTTAGCTTACCACCAGACTCCTTATGGTGCTATTTCACCATAAACCGAACCAAGTACCTGTTAGGAGTGGTATATAAGCCTCCCGTTTGCACGACAGGGTATAAGGCACAATTGCTCAGTGCAATTTCAACAACCACCTTGGCAGCCTATGACCATGTAGTCCTGGCTGAAGACTTAAACACACTGGCACTCAACCAGGGATGTGAAATGAGGTGTGGACACAAGTCTTTTAAACACAAACTCTGAAATACGTTCATGGGAGCAGGGCTAATAAGGAAGGTTGGGGAAAACACCAGGTGGGGACCGGATGGAAGACGATCACCACTCGACTACCTTCTAACAGATGATGATGATTTGGCGGACGATATCTGTGTTCATCCCCCTAGGTAGAGTGACCACGTATTGGTGAGATTCTCCTGATAACCAAGGAGATACCATCGACAGTTGGGCCAGAATCTTCCCGTTGTTACCGAAAGGCAGGCTACCACCTCATGAACAACGAATTCCTGGAGCCTGTGTGGCCACAAGAATAGCACCCACACTCGATAGACGAACACTGGATACAGATAAAAAATATCATGTGCAGCGCTACCTATAAGAGCGTTCCAAAATCAACCAGACGGTCACTTCTTAAACGGTCTTGGACAACTCATGCAACCCAAAGGCAAATAGAGAAGAAGGCATGGTATCTGTGGCTTGCACCACTCACAGAATCAGACTGTCATAGCTGCAAGAAGATACGAAAGTTATATAATGCAAGAACTCGTAATGACAGATATACATACCAGAGCGACTTGGCTAAATAGTTTATTTACTATCCGAAAAGACTGTATCGTTTCGTGTCACAACGTAAACTGACGAGTGAAGGTTTAAACCTGATCACGGGCCGGCCGGAGAACACTTGTGCAACAGTGAGATAGCGGAACTGTTGAGCAGCTGATTTGACTGGCAACTCACACCAGTAATACACCCTCTGTCAACATCTGGTAATGTAACGAAGCCCCACGACTGCGATAAAAGCTG